CATGGCGAAGAAGGATGATTTTTATTATTTTTTTTTCAGTGTACACTTCTGTCTTTAAGGTGGAGGAGAAAGAGTTCAAATCTAAGGGTAAAGTGGTTTGAGTTTCCACAGGAAATTACTTGGGGTCATTAACATGTATTTTTTCCATTGTAAAATGATCTCTTCTCAAATGCTCTGACACAAGGAGAAGATCCTAAAAATCCTGCCAGAGCCCTTACTGCTCCGAGGCCCTATAATAGCACACAATTTACACTCTTCCTCCGCTGCAAAAACCAAGGACAAAGCCTTTGATCTCCCATCTTTTCTCGCGGCCCGCTGTAGTCTCTGCCAGGTATAATCTTCAGTACCGAAGATCTCGGGCTTATTGCAGCGCTCTGAAGAAGCTCTGAGGGCGTTGGATGGACAAGAGGTGAGGAGCAGGTTTTCTGGACTCAAACCTATTAGGTGTTTGCTTGCAATGATATGAACTTGGACCCAGCAACCCTGATTGTGCTTACCCATAGAAAGCCCACAGTGTGCCTCCAGAGGTAGCCAGCACCACCGGCCACGTTCTTCATGGGAGCAAATCCATGCGGTGTCTCAGACCTTACGCTGCCGGTGACTCAACTCTTCACACACGGCAGCAGGGATGAGAGCGCAACACACTTGCTCAGGAGCGCTGTGGTTAAGAGGTACAAAAGCAAGTCCCTCCTATGTTCTTTATATCTGGGAGAGCTTTTAAAACCCCACTCAATTACTTTTCTGAAATAATGCTGCCTGAAACCTGTTACGCAGTCTTCTTCAGAGATCTTGGAGAGGGTTCAGGTTCTCTCCAGAGGCTCCTCCACCGCTAGGACATCTGCCTCTCAAACATCTGAGTGGAGAGAGAGAGCTCTGACTTTAAATTAAATTATACCTGTAAATTTAAATTTAAGGGCATGTTCAACTGTATAAGACAGATGTAAACATAGGTGTTAATGACATGCTCTCAGAAGCGGTGGATCAAATTTGCTTATAGCTTTGCAGATCAGAAGTGACTCCACTGAGATCAGTGGGTGATGCTGTGCACAGTCCACGGTTTTAAATAATCCTTTGCACCTGAGTGATGATTTCAATTTCAAAGACAGATGAAGACCTGTGCATATTATTGCAGAGCGTAAACATTGTTCCAATGAGATTCAAATGCCAAGCTGCAGAGATTATATATTACTGTGTTAGTAACTTGAGAAAAGGTTCTGCACGGCAGACGCTATTGAGTTAGGCAATGCAGCCAGATCAGTCTCCGGGTATCCCGGGGGATATTATGCTGCAGTTGCTTTCGATACCTCTTCGTCATCCACTTCCACTACAACATTACATTCCATTTACAGGCTCTAAACTAACAGATGATAACTCTGAGCCTCCAAGCTTAGGATTAAGAAATGAATGTATGGATCTCCTCTGACAGCACATGTTTGGGATCTAACAAACCTCACCCTTGGGCTTCTCCAGAGCCACCCCAATCTCTGCCTTTCCCACATGGATGCTGTATCAATACCTCTCTGAACTTGGCAAAAGCTAAATACTTTCCTGATGCTTTGCCAAGTGAGCAGTTAAGTCTTTTCACCTCCTGCTGAGCAGGAATCCGATGGGAAGGGCAGTGGCCGTGTGGTGACAGGGCACGAGAACATCGGAAGAAACAGCGGTGCTCGCCTGGCCAGGCAGAATTAGCACAACGAAAAGCAATCCCCTCCGAAGGCTGGATCTGCGCACCACAGCATCGCTACACGCAGAGCTGACGTATGCCGAGAAGGGGGCAAAGACGACGTTTCATGTGTTCCCTACCCTGAGCCACAAACTTCCCTCTCAACAATAAAATTCCACCGGGAAGGCGTGGAAGGACACCAGGAGGACAAGAGCTTACGGTGACAGTCCTTGACGGGGAGCCTCTGCTTCCAAACACTCGCTGCCTCCCTTTTGCTCGGCCAGCACTTAGTTTTGAAGCCTGTCACAGCTGAATGGAGCAACAAGAGCCGCCTTTCAATTTGCCAAGACTACGGCTTTCAGCTGCCCACCATATACACTCTGACCTTCATCCCCAGACAAAGCAGTACCAGCTCTTCACTGAGTAAACCCAGGCGTTTATAAAAAAGACGTTGGACATGGCTACGCAAACAGCCCTCATCATCCAGACCGCTATTATCTACTTCTAAATGAGCTGACAATTTTGTTAGGAAATTCTAAAATTAGGCACCGAGCACCTGAAAAAAAAAAAAAATTCCTATTCAAAACAGACAATAAAATGCAAAATGGAGCTATGTTTTAAGATGGGTATGTTTTTGTGCATTAGCACAAATGCCTCCAGAGGGGAAATTTTGCACATGAAGTACATTATTAATCATTTTCCTATCAATACTTTTTAGATATTACAAGAAAAAACCCATGGGGATTAACAGATTTTGAGGTTCATAAAAGACAATTTGGTCCTTGATGACTTGGCTTTGTGTGCAGTATGTCCCTGAGGGCTTATTCTGACAGTAATTCTGCACTGAGCTCCATATTTCTATTTGATTAAAATACGTCTTCCAGAAAGGCACTTGCAATCTTTACTTAGACATCTGGAGAAATGGAAAATTCACCACTTCTTCTGGTAGCTTGTCACCCACACTGCTGAAATATGTGTATCTTGAGTACACAGACAAACGGAAAACATCAATATTCCAGACTCCCGCGTTGTCCCCTTTCTAATTCTGATTGATCACGGTTGTCACACGCTCCAGACCCAATTCCACCAGGCATCGAGTGCTATGTCAATTCTTGCGGGTGTGCCGGAGAGACTCGGTGCGACGCAAGAGCAGAGCATCGGAGGGGAGAAGTGCCTCGTGCTCAGAGCACAGGCTTTGCTCTGCCACAGAACGACTTCAGGCAGCAAACTATTTTTTAAGAGTTTAATAGGAGCAAGTTCCCATGGATACATGTGAGTATCCTACATGTTTAAGAAAACAAGTGCCTCACGGACTCGCTAATGCTCAGCGTTGCTCAATTAAATATTCTTGTACTGGAAGGAAAAAGGGGAAGTTGAAATTACGTAGTTACTAAACAGATTAAGTATTTCTTTGTTTAGAAGACGGCATCACTCTGCTTATCTCTGCCATCTCGTGTGATCACCCAAAACAAATCAGGTAACATGGCAGACAACAAAATATCTATTCTGCTCTTTTTTGGCCCTCTGTCCTGGCCAAAAACCAAAACAGCGCAGAGAACAGCTTCAAAATGAAAAGGAGACGGGACTGCAAAAGTTGCGTGCAACCTAATTCTCAGAGACGATCTATTTATGCCAAACCCGGATCTCACTCGGAGTCTGTGGCAGTCAATCCCCTTGACTGCCATGCCGGCAGGATTTGGCCCCGGTAAAGCATCCGCCTGCATTCCCAGCTGCCGGGCCCAGCTGCCGCGGAGGAATGCAGGGCTGCCGAGGGCGCTGGCTCGGGACGGAGTCCGAACTCCCAGTGAAAAAAAAAATAAAAATCTCCATCTCGGCGCCTGGATCTAAACTTTGCAGAGCGATAGCTGAATATGATAAAGCAAATCCCTGCCTGACAATTATTCAATTGAGATTCTCCTCCCTCACCAGCATTCAAATCGTGTTTGAACCAGCGACTTTACTGAATATAGCTTTAAGCTTTTGGAGAGCCTTGGACAGAGACGCATACATTCATGAGCAGTACTGGGTAGGAAAGCAGAGCTACACGTATATGTATTAACTTTGCAGCAAATTACAACCGGGCAGTCAATACAATGTTTTTATAGGGCTGAATCCTGCTCCTACCAGTCAACAAGTTTCACCACTTTGTAGCATGCCATAGAGAATTAGATGACAGTTTGCACAAAAGCACTTTGAGGAGGGATTAAAACAAGCAAATAAACACATAGCAGTCATTTTAGCACTCTGGGTTAAGCAGAAATGTTTGAAGGCATAAAAGCCAGTTAATTCCTATTGGAAATCAATGGGAGCTGAGGAAATACAGCACTCTTGTACCCCTGGAAAGCTGTCCTTTTGCTATGGATTGCCCTAATCTCTGCTTTCTCTAAAATCGGATCGAAATGCAAGGCGCTCATTGATTTTGCAACTGTCCCCAGATTTCCTATGTAACTGTTTGGAAAAGTTGTCTCTCTAAACCTCATTCATCACCCTCCGTGCCTCACCCTCCCCAGGTCAATCAGCTGTCACTAAAGCTCAAATTTAAACCTGACCACGCTATTCAGAGCAAAATTCAAAACACAAGCTATTTCCACGGAAAAAAAGAGGCTATTTCAGCCCCGGGTTTGTATCCACCTCCATCTATCTCCGCACACACCTCAAACACGATGTGCCGTCTACCGGAGCAGCACCCGGGCCGCCTCCGGCTCTCCCTACCGCCCACCGGGATCCCTTTACCCGATGATGACTCGGAGCAAAGCACCGAGTTCCCGTCTCCACCGGGCCAAGCCGTATGACAGCGGAGCGGTCGGGAAAACTTTTTGGGAACCTCCCAGCGCCCGCATCTGCCTTGGCGGGTTTCGTTTCGCGGGGGGGGGGGTACGGACCGCCCGGAGTTTGCCCCCAGCTCGGGGACCCCATCTCCGCCGGGCGCCCACCGGG